AACTATTAAACAAACATTTTCTGGAAAGAGTTACGTGACTTTAATTCTTCATTACGTATGGAGATACGTAGGAGTAGGAAATCATTTCTGTCTAGCCCAAAAATAAAAATAATATTATTATCTCATTTTTACATCAATAATGATAATAATTAAATAAAGTAAACGTATTTGTTAAATAAAACATATTTGATTATCATCATTAGCTTTTATTAATTCAGGGTGAGATAAATATTTTAAAAGTTATAATAATTTTGTTAATTAATTAGAGGTGATCGTTTTTACCACGGACGTTTTAAGGTGCTAATACCTTTCTTATACGTAACCGACTCCGAGCTCAAATATGATTTTGTAGACCATTTTTTATTTTGTGATTTTTTCAATGTTTGTTCATAAAAATAAACATTAGTGACGACCTCATATTTATTAAAAAATTTATTTTGCCATCCTGTAGCAACCAAAGTTGCTACAAAGCTCAAAAATAAAAAGTTTATAAATTAGCTAATTAAATTAAAAATATTTAATAAAATTAATTAATAAGTTAGTTGATAATATAAAATAATATATATATTTATTTAATAATTAGAGAAAGAGAATAAAAAGTAAACAAAATATGGTTTCTAAATTAAAAGCATATCCTCTCTACATATAATTAAATAATTAGTGTCTTAAATGAGATTGTTTTTTAAGAGCTATTTACATATATTTAAAATATTTATTTATTAAAAATTTAATAGCATAAAATAGACATTCATTCGTGTAGTCCACAAACTGCAAATTTAAATGCGGATAAAAGTTATGTGTTTAATTTTTTTCTTCTTAAGTTTTGTATTTGTATATCGAAAAAGAATAAAGAAATTGAAAACTGAAATATAATTTAAATTTAAACATGAAAGGAATCTTAAGTTTTTTTTGTATAATTAGCATATTAAAATTAGGATTTAATCAGAAGCATTTAAAATAAATGAAAATAAAAAATAATTAATTACCATATTTAAAGATAATTGTCATGTCATAATATCTAATAAGTATAAGCTAACAAAATTTTAATGGCATTAGTGATTCTACCCACCCGCGTTTAGCATGGAAAAGTCAGAGACATCATGCGTCATATCTATTCAAAATCGATGACATATTCCGTAGATTTTGCATTTCATAGTATCGCGAGCCTCACGAATCCTGGAAAATATGCAATAAAAGTTGTTTATAAGCAAATTTCTGTGCCACATCACTGTCATATCAGCTCTGACTCATTTTATAAATTACTTAAATTTTAGTAAAGTTACTTCTACAAGTAACTTTGCTAAAATTTAAATAACCTATAAAGTGGATCAGAGTTGATATAGTAGTGATGTGACACAGAAAGTTGCTTATAAGCAACCCCATTGCAGATACTCTTAGGTCTCAAAACCCATCTTAAATATTAGTATGTTCCTTACACAAAATTAATCTATATGATACATACACAACACTCGCAAAACAATACAAGATCGTCAAAATACTCAGGTTCATCTAATTGCATAAGAACCCCCAATTTCATACATATAAATCATAACCCTATCACAAAATCAATCCATCATAATTGTTCACGAATTTCCAATAACAAAATAACAAATCAACCACAAATCATATTTATATGCGTTTACAAAAATTTAATCAACAATCTAAGAGTTTTAAGAATCAAGTCATTGTTCACACCCGTCATATATATCTATAAAAGAGATATTCTCACTCCTTTCTTATTTTAAATAATCTCTATAGTACCATCATGCTCTTCCACCACCTTTATCGCTATTTTGCATATTTTTTAATGTTTTCCTTTAGGACTTCCTTATAAGTACTCTTATGTAGTGTTTAGTTGGAGTGGTATGAAGGTGAGGGGGTCATTTTTTTTTATTTTTTTTTATAAAAAAATCTTATTTGTTTTATTTTTTAAAAAGGAAAGGGAGGAAAATCCCTCCTTACCCAATTTTAACTCTCCTTCAAAATTGGAAGGATTTGGAGGGGAGGGAAGGGAAGGGATTTTAAAACATTTTTAATATAAGTACCTTTATTTATATTATTAAATTTCTAATTATAAGAATACAAAAATAAATTTATTTTAAAAATCTCTTCCTCTCTTGTGAAACAAATAAGAAAATAGTTATCTCTTGTCCTCTTTCCTCTCATTTTCTCAACCAAATAAAATTTCTAATTCCTCCCCTCCTTTCCATTAATTATTAAAAAAACAATTAATGATATATTAAAAATACAACAATTCATAGTTTAACAATTATCCTAACCAAACATCTAAATAATGCGTATTCTATATATACTCAACCAAATTTACAATTACAACAATATTCTTATTAAAAAGAAAAAAAAAACAAAGAATTATCTTAACCTTTTTTTTTATTTTTACTTTTAACATATTATTATATTACTATGTTTTTTATTTAAAAAAAATTAACACTACTATTAAACCTTATTGACTTTAATATTAAGAAGGGCTATATTGACTAATGTGGAATGAAATAAATGAGTCATTTTTTCAACTAATTATAAGAAATATGGTTTCACTTCAATTTCTATTAACTGTTTATTTATTTTTATAGCCTCAATCGATCAATCGTAAAGTCTATTATATGATATTTACTCAGTTTTTTTATTGAATTATTAACAAAAGATCATTGATTGAAAAAAATTATTCTTTAAATTATGAGTACTGTCATTAAATATAATTATCACTTAAAATATGTAATATTGTGGACACTCTTGGAATAGAATTTAAATTTATAGTATTATTAATTATAATTAGTTAATTGAATAGTTTTATTGATTTTAATTAATTAGAGATATGGATTTCTTATGTATAATATTAGAAGTAGTATTAAATTAGTTTTTTTTAATCTTTTTCTTAGTGTGTTAATACACATGAATAAAAGAGAATAAACACGCTATAATTAGAAGTCATGAATAAGATTTTGAATGCATGTCAATCAATATAACCATTCTTTGAAAAGTCTAGAATATATATTGATGATTAAGAACTGAAATATATGCACTTGACCATCTATTAAACCAAAGAAACTCATTCATTGTCCTGATCAATTATTGCAGGGATTGCAGTTAGAAGTAGTCATATTCATTGTACTAGCTGGTGAAGTCCTAATTAAGATACACGAAGGCCAGTATGGATGAACCACGTGGAATGGGATTAGAGAGAAATATCCTTTTGACCAATTTACTAAGAATCCTCATTGGAAATGTCTGATGTATTATGTTGTACGTGGTGCGACTTGGGAGCATATTAATGTATAAATTTAAGGGGTCATGATCATAGACAAGATTTTGTTTGAATAAAATGTTCTTTTCAAAATTTTTAAAAATCATGTCAATGCCTGAAGGCTCACGATGCCATAACAAATTCAGAAGACCAATTCAGCTCTGATCAAAACTGACTGTCAATAGTTACGTTACGTCAAAAATTGGACTTCTCTCTTAGGATTGACTATTGATTCCCTATAGAGACCTCACATAATTATTTTGAAGGATAATCATGACCTTCTCCACACTTTCATTTTCATATTACAATATATAGATATAAATCTATATATTTAACATATATATCTATATATTTAATATATATCTTGTTCTCACCTAAAATTAGTTTAATGACAATCTCTTTGGTGAGATTGGTGAAACTCCTTTGTTCTTACAGGTGGGGTGTTCTGAGGTAGAGATAATATCTATAAAAGAGACTCCGATATTAATTTTCGCAGATATGAGTGTCTCATATATATAGTGTATATACTTTAATGTTAATTAGGATTTTTTCTTCCTTATGCAAATATTTCATTGGTTAACATAAGATTGGTCACTTATCTTTTTATCTTGTCAATTGGGGAATGGTTTAACCTTTTGACCGATGTGATTAGATGATTTGAGGCCGAGGTAATCTCCTCTGAGATTGGTATGATGGCGTGCATCCGATATTATTGACTTGGTGTGGAGGGTACATATCTATATATAGCATTCCCATATATATATATATATATATATATATACACACTTGCGGGCGTAGAAGGCAGTTACGCTAAGGTCCTGATGATGTACTATTAACCATCCAGTTGTCCGATGTATGAATGACCTAAACATGCTACTTTTGACTCATTTGTATGGTAGGCTGAAAACATAAATGCAAGTTTACTTCATGAAAAATTTGATAGATCTAAAGTCTAAATCCCAATTAGTAGATCTTGCATGCATTTTAATTAATAAAAAGGTGTATTGGAATACATGTGAAGAGCACTGCTAACATTTCCATGATGAAAATATATAACTCACATTACTCTCAAAACAAAGATGCCGCCACAACATAGGCCAAGATAATTAAATGATAGAGAGAGACTTCCAAGTCTCGTCTCGGGAAAAATAATGTCCTAATCGTGGCAAGCTTTCTACAACAAAGCTATTTCACTAACCACCCATAACTATAGCCTAAAATTCGAATTACGTACAATTGACGTCACTCACTCAATTATAACTACTACCTATACATTAACAAAAATGTGCCCATGGCTACGACAATAAAATTCACCACAAAATTTCCTACCAAGGATTGAAACTGAAGAAGTCATGAGCATCATATATATGCTAATCTCTTGGAGATAGAAGCATCTTCAATGTTTCATATGTCATAAAGACAATGCCCACGCTGGGAACAACCTTGTAGTACTCGGGCAAAATGCCTCTATATATATATATATATATATATATATATAATATAATATAATAGTATAAGTAAAAATAATTTTTAATAATAAATATTATGTAAGTGTGTATGATCACATGATAATTTTTTTTTTTTAATGTTATCTATTTTTTTACATTTAACTTTGTTTTCATGTGGGTCACTACAGACAATTGATCAAAGCTTACTTTGCCCACAACTCTTATTTTTGGCTATAAATACTGGTCAATTAGTTCCTTATCAATTACTATTCATTCTGTGCTTACTTAAAATGGGGTTGCTATTCCAAGTTATTCTAAGTTTACATTTGTTGCTCTTCCACTTCCTATCTTCTCATTCTTCCCAACCCTTGTGTCCTTCAGACCAGAGCCATGCCTTACTTCGGTTGAAGACCTCTTTCACTAGCAATACTGAACATGTTTCCGGTGCATGCAATCAAACTCACGCAAAGACAAAAACGTGGGAAAATGACACAAATTGTTGCTCGTGGCTTGGAGTCACGTGTGACCCCATCTCTGGTCACGTGATTGGTCTCAACCTTAGCTGCAGTGGACTCCAAGGAAAACTTCATCCAAATAACACTCTTTTTCGTCTCACTCGTCTCCAGTCACTTGACCTTGCTTTCAATGACTTCTCCAAGTCTCACTTGTTATCTCTCTTTGGTGACTTTGTGAACCTCATGCATCTCAACTTGTCTAGCTCTAACTTTGAAGGTGAAATTCCTTTCCAAATCTCGCAACTTCAAAATCTCATTCACTTGAATCTTTCATTCAACAAATTTAGTGGCTCAATTCCAAATGTCTTTGGTGGGCTAACCAAGTTGAAAACCCTTGATCTTACTGCAAACAACTTGGAAGGGCAAATTCCATCTTCATTGTTCAACTCAACTCAACTTTCTGGCTTGAATTGTTCTTATAATAAATTAGAGGGTCCTCTGCCTAACAAAATAACAGGACTTTCAAAGTTAATTGCCTTGAGGTTAAATAACAACTTACTGAATGGGACAATTCCAGCATGGTGTTTTTCTTTGCCATCTTTGATAGGTATAGATCTATCAAATAATCAGTTCACAGGGCACATAAATGCAATCTCAGCATATTCTTTAGAGTTTCTATTGTTGTGCAACAACAAACTACAGGGTAATATTCCAAAATCAATCTTCAACCTTGTAAACTTAACTGGTTTATGTCTATCATCAAATGGTTGGAATGGCACTGTCCACTTTCCATTATTTTCCAAATTTCAAAAATTGGAAGTGCTCTCCCTCAATCACATTAGTCAATTATTCATAGACTTTGAATCTGATGTTAATTATAGTTTCCCTCGTTTGAAAATATTAGAGTTATCTTCTAACAATTTAACTGAGTTTCCCAAATTGTTAGGAAAATTCTCGAGTTTGAGTTGTCTTGAAATGTCTGATAACAAATTTATTGGGAAAATCCCAAATTGGTTGTATGAAATGGATTCTTTACAAATTTTGAACCTCTCTCGAAACCTGTTGACAACATCAATGGACCAATTCTCATGGAATTACAGGCTCCATGTGCTTGATCTTAGTTTCAACTTACTAGCTGGTGACATATCTTCATCGATTTGCAATCTAAGTTCTCTTCAGATTCTCAACTTGTCACATAACAGGCTGAAGGGAACCATTCCACCATGCCTTGTAAACTTGTCATCCCTTCAAGTTTTGGATCTACACATGAACAAACTTCAAGGATCTTTGCCCCCTTTTTTTCCAAAGAACAAGCTTAGTGATGTGAATCTCGGTGGAAACCAACTAAAAGGTCCTTTGCCTACATCTTTGTCCAAATGTACACAATTGCAGGTTTTAAATCTTGGCAACAATCAAATAGAAGATACATTTCCCCATTGGCTTCAGAAGCTACCAAAATTAAGAGTGCTAGTTTTAAGAGCCAATAAGTTCTGATATCAGTGGGACATAATTTTTATCAAATACACTCATTGTGTCCGTACCCAAAGTTGTCTCGTATGCACAGTGGGCCTTATGCGCAGGCGAGAAGTGCGTGTGAGGTATTGTGGGTGTTTGATTTCTGACCCTTTGCTACGAGCATGGCTCGTTTAATTTATAGACAAAGATTTGGGAAAGGTAACTGTTTCTGACGTGCCCCGGAAGTGCATAATTGTTCTAAACTTCCACATCGTGGCTTATTCCCGGGCACGTCTTTGGATAACTCTTGGAACTGCTTATTAACTTCCCCAAATCGTTCTGCAACCTTTGACACTTATCCCATGATTTACTTCAACCGCTATTACATCGTGTCTCCTTTAAGTTCTTCATTCTGAGAGGTTGCGAAGTGTGTTCGTGTATGTCCGGATTCTTGGGATTTCGAGTAACCAACGAAAAATATACTACTCGAGTGTTTCCTGATTTTTCTTGTACTTTGAGAGGTTGCGAGGCTGTGAGCCTTTCTCTTGAGCAGCGTCCTTCCTAGTTCAATAATTTCGAGAGTTTCTCGAAAAGTGTCTTCGTGTCCTTCCTGGTACAATGATTTTATATATATATATTACCAATATATATATATATATATATATATATATATATATATATATATATCGAAATTTCATCAATAAATGAGATAATAAAGTAAATTCTTTAGCGAGATTATAACTATAACCGTACATGTACATTATAACACTTGGTTTTCCTGTTAAAAATATTTATTTAATTATTAATTATTGTGTTTTTGTTGTAATTAATTGAGTTGGTTTAGTAATTATTTTAATTATTTTTTTATATGGATATATATATATATATATATATATATTTTTAAGATTTTATAATCAAGTGTTTTATTATTTATTTACTTATTAATTAATTGAGGGAAGGGTTTTTGGTAACCATAGTTAGTTGTTTTAGTTGATGGGTTAAAAAGAGGTTTATGTTTTTAAAAAGGGGAGTTTTTTTATCAGTTTCTTTTTATGCCCGTGAATAACCAATTTTATCTAGACCCACAAAAGTAATGAAATGGACGTCTACTATAAAGCGAAGGAGCTCCCAAAGTATGGAGACAGCACCATATGACAACAAGGAGGCTTGAAGCCCAAAAAAGTTGGTTTTAGTAGCCCAGAACGGGTTGTTCCAAAATCAGAACAGGTTGTTCCAAAATCGGAACGGGTCATTCCCAAGTTGGAACAGGCTTTTCCAAGTTACTAAAAAGACCTAAAACCCTAATTGAGAACGGGCCAAAACGGACTGCTCCAGGTTCAAATTTAGTTCATAACTGAACAATTCAGAACGGGCCGTTCCGAATCCGGAACGGGTCGTTCTAGTCAGGTCTGACATCTATAAATAGCAGACTTGGGCACTATTCTCGAGGGAGAAAAAAGGCAAAAAAAAATTGGTCTAAGATTTCTTATAACTCGAAAATCCTCTCTCTTTCTCTCTCTTTGTATTTCTTGAGATCTGTGAAGCATCTATGTAGTTTGAAAGGTAGTCAAAAAGTACCTAATAGATCCTCATATCTGAATATTCAACACGTTAACAAGTTCAACAATTTATTCGTCTCACATTTGGTATCATATTCTTTTCTTAACCCTTTTTTTTTTTCTTTTTTTGATTGGTTGAAAATAATTATACATACAGAGTGAATGTGATTTGTTGTCTTCAAGATTATCATTTAGAAAGTATTCATACAATAAATAATAACGTTAGTTAAATAACATTTTTATCTTTAACGTTATTTGATTACGAGAGTTTAATGACTAGCCACTTGTTAGCCTGAATTCTTGTGTAAAGATTATTTCAAACAAAATTAGCAATGTTAAGTCTATCTTTAGCGTTATTATGATCGTTCAACGTTTATTTATTCGTTAACTTAAATTATTACCCAAGTCTCAAATAAAAATGCAAAAAGGGTTTTTTTTCATCTATAAAGGTTCCATACAAAGCATGATAGAATATATTTTTAGGGTAAATTAAATATTTATAAATTTATATAATTTTGAGCAATTAATTAAATGTACTATTTTTTAAGGTGCATAGGGTGCTAATATCTTCCCAATGCGTAATTGACTTCCGAACCCAATCTTGACTTTAAAGATTATTTTTAAAAGGGTTTTCCAATGCTTTTCCCTTAAAATAAGATATTGGTGGCGGTTTCATTGAAAAATAATGTTTGTGTCATCCCGTCGTGATTTCGGTTACGACAATGCCCCTTATTGTAACACCCCAGTTTTCCTAATTCATATTAATGATATGCTAATAATTATTTTAATATTTTAAATATGTTTATTAAAGGATTTTGATATAATTTAATTAATTATATGATTTCTATTTTAATATAAAATATGGTATGAATTAATATTTTGATTATTGATATAAGGTGTATTTTATGAAGATGTGTTTTATTAAAGGTTTAAGCTTGTGATATTTTTATTAAAAGGGAAGAGTGTATTTTGATTTTATTTTAGCTTTTTTTATAAAAGGGGAAGGAAGGTTGTTTTGGTAATTAGGTTATTATTATTATTTTATTATTTAATTAATTGAGTAAAAAGGAATTGCTAGAGTCAGTTTCATGTACTCATTTTCTCTTTGTTTATTTCCTTTCTACACTCTCTGAAGACCAAGGAAAATGAAGAGAAGACTACCTGGAAATTGCTCATGCTTCGACTTCTGTCCATCAAGGTGTTAGTACCAGAAAATGAATTCAGAGATACTCGAAATACAGGGGTGCTCGAAATCTTAGGTGATCAAAAAATGGCAAAGAAGTTTCTGAAGAAGACATACGAAGCCTGAACAGAATCAAGAGATACGCGAAGACATTTTTCGTGAAACTCTCGAAATCCTCGAACCGGGAGGTTGCTATTTCCCAGTTTAACAATTCTTGACATCTCATACAATGACTTCAGTGGCTCATTACCATTAGGCTATATAAAAAATTTAGAAGCCATGAAGAATCCAGTTGAATTGGAAAATAGTTCACAATATGTGGAATTTAATTACATTATTTATAGTGATAAATTCCAACATTACAGCCTTTCATATGATTCCATGGTTATAACAATGAAAGGGGTCAACTTGATCATAACCAGAATCCCTACAAAATTGGCAACTTTGGATCTATCTGCAAATAGTTTTGAGGGAAAGATTCCATATGTTCTTGGAAAGCTTAAAGCACTCAGAGGACTCAACCTGTCGCACAATAAACTCATGGGTACTATTCCTAGTGAGTTAGGAAATTTGACAAATTTGGAATCATTAGATCTCTCCTCAAATTTGCTCACTGGTGGGATTCCTATGGAATTGACCAATCTGAACTATCTTGCAGTCTTGAATCTTTCTCATAACCATCTTGTAGGAGAAATACCTCAAGGAAAACAGTTCAACACCTTTTCAAATGATTCCTATGTGGGAAACATGGGCTTATGTGGACTTCCATTGTCAACTAAATGTGACATGAAATGTAAACAATGTTCTTCAGCTTCACCAACCTTCTCGAGTGAAGAGAAATTTGGGTTTGGTTGGAAACCAGTGGCCGTAGGATATGGATGTGGAATGGCATTTGGGGTGGCCTTAGGATGTTGTGTATTGTTAATGGGAAAACCTCTATGGCTTGTGAGGATGGTTGAAGTTCAACCTACTAAAAGGGTGACAAGAAGAGCAAGGAAGAGGCCTCGTAGAAGAATGAATGTGCAAATGTCATAATTGATGTGTGTCTTATGGTAATTCTCTTCTCTTTTATTTAGTTCTGCATTAATTGAAAGTTTGAAATTAAAAAAAAAAAAAAATTGAGTTTAAAACTACAAAAAGCATTATTTCTTCAAATTAATTTGTACCTGAATTGTTTTCAGCCAAGCAAGCACAAGTTCAAGGGAAGAGGACAAGGTCACTTGTTTATGTTGTAGCTTTGTCAAATATGTTAAGCCAAAACCATTGGTTCCCTGTGATGATTATCAGTAGTTGAAACAATCTAAAACAAGACATGGTTTGTACGCAAAATCCGACACCCCAGATGGAATTGCACACACATCAAATCATGTGCAAATGGGAATGAATATTTTAAAACTCCTTTGATTTGTAATTGCAAGTCAGTTATTTCGATGTTTATACTTGTATATATACTTTTGTGGAGAAAATGGTTAAACCAATGAGGTAGTTTGTATATGTAAGAATAATCACTGAATGCAGATTTATGTGGATGTGCAAAATTTTATTGTTGAAAGCAAAGATCAGACTCTAATCATTTGAAATTTTTAAAGGCTTTTTTTATTTCCGTTTTTAAATGTACAATTCATCAATTTCAAGATCATACATAAACTCATGTTTAGCCACATTAAAAAATGTGATGACGACGCTATGATGATGTTATATTTAAAAAAAAATTACATTTATATGTACAAAATCAATTTTTTTAAAATGTTTTATTAGATACAACATCAGGAATTTTTTTTTTAAAAAAAAAGTTACATGTACAAAATCATTTTTTTTAGACGTGGTATTGAATTAGGCCTTTTTGTGAACCTTTGTTAACAATGTTAGTAAAATGCATAACATTTAATACATTTCCTTAATTGAGGGACCCAAAAAAACCTTAAGGGACACTAAAGCCAAACTTTAAGATATTTAGAGAAACTAATAATATGTTTAACTTAGCTTTTTAATCCCACTTTAAATCCAGTCAAATTTTGCTGCTAATCCTGTATTATATAGAGAAGTAGTAATTTTTGTTTTATTGATATTAATAAGTTTAAAATTTTAAATTTATAGAGAAGTTCACAATATTATTTTTGATAAAATAACTTGTTAATTTTTAGCAATATTATTATTAGCCTTTACAAAGAAAGAATACGAACTACTAAGTCAACCTAAAAGGTAAAAGTTGGACTAGTGTACTAAAAGTCCCAAGTTTGAACCTTATTAGAATAGTTATACTTAAAAAAAATGAATAATTTAGATGACGAACAAAGTTCATTGATCTAGTTATGCTTATAGGTTTTGTAAAACAATTATGTAAGGAAGACTCTTCAATAAACCAAGTCAAACCTTGAAAAAAAAAATTCATAACAAGACAAATTAGACTTAAGCATGCCAAAATCTACTCTACTTGACATGTTTCTATTCTTACTAATTATAATATTAAATAGTTATAATTTATAGGTTAAAATATATTTTTGATTCCTATAATTTAAAAAGACTTTTTTAGTCCTATACTTACCTTCTTTTAATCCTTTCAAGTATTTACCATTAATTTGTGTGTAACGTGGTCACCTTTGGTGTTGATGTTTGGTAGAGGTCTCCAATTTCATGTTTGTAATGTAGTAATTATTTTGCACTTAAAATACTTTTTTAATCTCTTTAATTTCACTTACTTTACTTTTTGATTTAATAATTTCACTTATTTTTTCTTTTAGTCTTTATAGTTTAAAATAATTTTTTTTAGTCCTTATATTTACAATTTTTTTTAATCTTTTTAAGTCCTTATTGTTATTTTTTACCAAATTAATTTCAAAAAATTAGTTATCTCCTAAATTGATCAGTTTTTTTTTCTTTATAACCCAGTTTTTTTCCAACAAACTAGTTTGAAGGCTTTTTTTTTTTTTTATCAAGTTAGTTTTAACAAATAGTGTCACATTCTTTATAGTCCATTTTTATTTCAAACTAGTCATTTATTGTATTGACCACTCATCTAAATCACATTCGATCATCGTAAATATCTCTCCCCTTCACATATTTTAACAAATCACCTTGTGACTACTTTGACATATTTAGAAAATGACCTTTGTAAAATACATCAACAATGAAATTGCACAAATACATCCCTAATTTCACATGGAATTAACTTGGCCAAACGATAAAACATTTTCCTATGGTGAATTCAAACGAAATAACAAGATGAAAAAGATGGGATTAAAACCACCTATCTTCACTATTGTGTTTCGCTTCAAAAGTTCACCAAGCAACAACATCGTTCGCCACAAAAGTCCATGAAACACTTCTTTGCACATGACATCCAACACCACTACACTCCATCAAAAATAGCAACACTATTGTTCTCCACTGCAATAAAAGAAAGACCATAATAAGGTTTTTCTTCACTTGCTTCACGAGCACATTGACAAGGATAGAAAGGAACTTTATGTTGATCAAAGACTTGCTTTTTTTTCTCTTCCTAAACCATATATATATATATTAAGTCACACATCATCATCCACCAAACTAAACAAATTAGTGTCATGTACTCACACAAAAACAACAAACACAAATTAATGATAGGGACTTAAAGAGATAAAAAAAAAAGTAAGTATAAAGACTAAAAATAACTATTTTAAACTATAAAGACTAAAAAAGTAAAATAAATGATACTATACAAACCAAAAAGATATTTTAACCATAAAATACCACATCACAAATACAAAATTGAAGACTCATGTCACATCATCACAAAAGAGTCAATTATAGACAAATTAACGGTAGGAATATAAAAGAATTAAAAAAAAGATAAGTATAGAAACTAAAAGTATTTTTTTAAAACCATAGGAACTAAAAGATAAAGTTGGTGAAACTATAAGGACCAAAAAAGACATTTTAACATAATTTATGTTTAGGACTTTATATTTCTAATGTTGCTTGAATATGAGTTATATTTGAATGATTTAAAGTTGTTTTAACGATAATTTAAGAGTAATTTTTTAATTTAATTATAATAATTTTTTTAATTAATATTTCCTATCCATTGCCTACCTATTCCCACCACATGTTTGCTTGTATATATCTTGTGATCATAAATGTGGATGGATTTGTGGGATATATGGAATTCACCGACAAAATAATTTGATCGACACTATTTCATTATGTGTCGATCTATTTGATCCAGCATGTTCAATTAGAATGTGTAGTGTCTATTTTTTTTATAAATCTAAAATAATATATTTCTTATGATTTACTAACGCAACTATAAAATTAATAATATTTGTAATAAAGATAAAAGAAAATTTCATGAAATAATGTACATATACACTAGTGGAAAAAATACTTTTAAAATCAGTTGTTTTTTTAATTTTAAGATCGGTTCCTTGATCGATCTTGAAGGAATTGATCTTAAAAGTTGAACTTTATAAGATTAGTAGTCAAAAGCTGAACTTTTAAGATCGGTCATCCTAATAGTCGATCTTAAAGTAGAAGTAGAAGAGGGAGGCTCCAACTTGCAATTTAAGCATGTGGTGGAAATGAAAGAAGAGGATTTGGCCTCATAGCTTCAGATCTAGCACAAGGAAGAGTATAACACAACAATAGCATCAGAGAAGAAAAAAAAAAGAAAGTTGTTTGGACTTTGATGGTGGGATGGAGAAAGGAATGGTCCCAAAATGCTAATGTAGCACCACAACACTAGAACAATGATCTCCAAAGCAAAAACCAAACATTTACAACCACGAGCCTTTGCGAATCGACAATCGACAATCGGGATTCACAATACATACATTCGAATCGGAGGAGAAAAATTGGGATTAGGGATTTTACCTTTGAAAATGGGTTTGTGGGAGCACTTCACGAGCCTCAGGCTATCCTTTGTTAACAAAGAATCCATGGCCTCTGAATTTGGATGTGAAAATTAAAATGAAATTCTACCTCTTGCTTTACTTGCTTAATTTCATCTCACTCCCTTCACAACATCATTTGTTTTAGTTGATTCAAAATAATGTTGTGTTAAGGTTACTAATTTTTATAATAATTATAATTATTTTAAAAATTATATAAAAATAGTTTTTATAATTTTTGTTGTTTAAAAGTATATAAGTTTTTAAGTTTTAATTAATGACATGGATAAAATAAGATAAGTATTGTTATTGTATATATAAATATATAATTTTTTAATAAATCCCCTAGAAATAAAGCACCACTATACACCTATTTTTTTTTATAATGAACTTTTAAGATCAGCCATTAGAGAGCCGATTTTAAAAAGTGATGCAGTAGCATTTTTGTAAATAAATTTATAACTTTTAAGATTGGTCACATTTTAACTGGTCTTAAAAGTACTTGTAAGATCAACTAAAATGTGACCGATCTTAAAAGCTATAACCTTATTTACAAAAATTCCACCGCATCACTTTTAAGATCAGTTAAAATGTGACCAATCTTAAAAGTTGCAACCTTATTTACAAAAATATTACCGCATCACTTTTAAGATTGGCTAAAATGTGATCGATCTTAAAAGTTGTGACCTTATTTACAAAAATATCATCGTGTCACTTTTATGATCAACTAAAATGTAATCGATCTTAAAAGTTGTAACATTATTTACAAAAATGTCATCGCGTCACTTTTAAGATCGGTTTTCTTATAATTGATCTTAAAACCCCGATCTTGAAACTAATTTTTATACTAGTGATAGTTGGATTTTATATACATCGCGTACTATTATAAAACATTTACAATAACGTACTTGTTTACAAACTATTTATTTATATACTTTTACTATAAGAATTACATATTAGGTTGAAATAAATTTACTATTGGGTTGACATGATTGGTCGGGGGATAGATAGAAGGTAACTAGTATGGGGCCATCCACAATGGTGCGAATTTCCTAGTTTGGAAAGAATATAAAAGTTGATAATCTTACACTGTGAAAAGTAACTAAATTGGCAACTGCATCGACACTCCAATTTGTTCTAGAGAATACAACCGATATAACTGAAGTAAAAGGGTCAGGTATGTCAAAAAGATCCATCTATTTGCATTATAATTAATTTAATTTTAAAATAAAAAAAATAAGGAGTAAAAATAATTTTGCAATAAATACAAATAAATAAATAGAACGTACAAAATTATTTGTAATCAATATTAATTATATATTTTAGATTTTTCATTCTTATGGTCATAGATTGACATTTATCTTTATAAGTAATGATGATATAATAATAAGTTGAGCTTAAGAATAATAAAAAAGAAAACTAGATTATAGTTAAAAATAATATAAAAATATTTAAATTAAAAGATTTAGAATATTTTTAATTGTAAAATTCAGTACAATATAATTTACAGCAATGAGATGTGGTTAAAAGTATTAAACTAGATATATGACATATGTGAAAATCAAAAGATAATAAAACAATCTAAACTAGTAACACCTTATTAACTATTTAGAGTTAAAAATATCATAAATTGAACAAATGAATGAGGTTAGGATACCTCACTTAAATAAATATAAAATAAATAAATATAATAATATAAAAAATTTGAAAAAATATAAAGATTTCTCCCCCCTTACCTTAATAGAAAAATAGAAATATTTAGAGATAATTTAAAGCTATCTAAACGAATTTTTTTTTTCTTCCCATTCTTTCTTCTTTCTTTTCTCTCTTCCTTCTCAATCTCCTCGTTCATCTCTTCTATTTCTAAGCTACGACCCCATCTTTTGGCCTATATTTATAGGCAAAATCTTACCATATTTTATATTAAAATAGAAATCATATAATTAATTAAATTATATCAAAATCCTTTAATAAACATATTTAAAATATTAAAATAATTATTAGCATATCATTAATATGAATTAGGAAAACTGGGGTGTTACAATAAGGGGCATTGTCGTAACCGAAATCACGACGGGATGACACAAACATTATTTTTCAATGAAAC